AAAGCAAAATGGTTTTTTTCTCGGGTTGAAATTCTTCCGAAAAATTTTGGGGTACTCAATGACGCGCGCCAAGCACGATAAAATTTTTATTTTTTTATTTTTAAATTTTCAACAATTTTTTTTAATTTTTTCATCTTTATGACGGTTTCTTGGTATTTTTTTGTATTTCACATATTTTTGTAGAGAATGAAAGCTATTGTAGTCTTCTTTTTTTTGTAAAGTGCAAATGTTATTGAGATGAGTTTTATAAACGTGGACTTGGCGCAATTTTTTACAGTGAAACTGTTTTTGTTCGGATACTAATATCAATATTCTTCGCAGTACTTTTGACCACCAAACTACATTGGTGTACTTACTCCATTCGCGTATATTTAAATATATTACTAATCAATTCACTACAGATAAGTCTACCGTTTTTTTGGAAATAAATTGGAACTCTGTATATTGTTCCGTATACTTAATTCATTCCCACAAACGTCGGACTTCCTCCCATTAGCGTGTACTTCTGACATTTTCACTTATTGACAAAATATACTACCATTCACAGGTCTTATAATTGTGGAAGGCATGTTCAGTCAATTATCAAAATAATAAAAATAATTTACTTAATGCCATAATTGTTCAGTAGGAGAAACAGGTACATTACTTTGAAAAATCTGCATTAAGGCTTAGCATAAAAATATTATAAGTAACTTTGCAGACACAATAAATGTGTTCTAACTTGTAGGCAGACAAGCATATGACCCACCTGATGGTGAGTGGTCACCGTCGCCCATGGACTTCAGCAATGCCAGGGGCAGAGTCAAGCCGCTGCTTACCGTTGAGTACTCTCCACAAGCCTCGCTTGAAGAAGGACAAGTCGTAGCGCTCGGGAAACACCGTGGAGGGGAGCTCATTTTAAAGTCGGATGGCACGTGACAAAAAAGATCTCTGGAAACGCACTGTGGATGAACGCAGTGGCTCCAGGTAGTATAGATGAACTCTACTCCGGTGGCGGCCGGTGTAATAGTAAAAACGAGATGATGAGATCATCTCAAATAATTGCGGTACAAAATGCAGAGAGAAGCGAAGTCCCTCCGCAGAACCAGAGGTTCCAAACGACGAGAACGGGATTATCGACAATCCGAACGGCCCTCTTCTGTATGGAGTCAAATGGAAGTAGCTGGTATTTGGGAGCCCCAGCCCAGAGGTGGGATCAGTACTCCACGCGAGGCCGGGCTTGTGCTTTATAAAGCAAAAGTCTTTGTCCAGGCGTGATGTACCGCTTCGCTGTTGGCCTCCAAATTACTCCGAAACTGGACATTGCTCGAAATGTCGACCCCAAGAATTCCGATACTCGTGGAAGGTTTTAGGGATACTTCTTGGAATTGTGGCACCACGACAAAGGTGTTCTTCTTCGCAGTGAACGCGTAAACCTGTGTCTCCAACGGGTTGAATTGAACTAAGTTCGATTCACCCTCGGAGATTCGCCCCAGAGAGTTCTCTACTTCAGACGCAAGTTTAGATCGTCTCTCTTGCACCACGCTCCGAGAAAGGCATTGATGACTGATATATTGCGCATCCCCCGTGCTGTCATCTGCATAGCAATGCACGCCATCAATAGGTAGCATGTCATTGATGTACAGGATGAAAAGCGTGGGGAAGGGCACCGATCCTTGTGGAACGCCAGCGTTAATGGTTAAGGTATCGGAGCAGCTACCGTCCGCTCCGCCCATCCAAAAAGCTAGCGACCCACTTGTAGTTTCGACAGAAGTGCCCTATGTCAGACCCTGTCGAAGGCTTTGCGATATCAAGGCTCACAGTAAGAGCCTTGCCGTTGCTCTCCAAAGCTTCAGCCCACCTGTGAGTAAGGTATACAAGAAGATCGCCGGCTGAGCGACCGTGACGGAAACCATATTGTCGGTCACTGATCAGCTGGTGATCCTCAAGATACTTCAGGAGTTGTGTATTTATTATTCGCTCCATCACCTGAGAAAGCAAGGAAGTTATCGCGATAGGCCTGTAGATCAAGGGGTCTGACTGGTCACCCTTCTTGGGGATAGGGTGGATGTGGGCGGTCTTCCAGGAACCCTGTTAGTACATGCAATCTGGCCCATTCGACTTATGGACGTCCAGGGCCTGGAGCTCCCGCCTGACTGCACCCTGTGTAAAGCAGATCTTAGGCAGAGAGCTATCACACCAGGGGATGTTGGGTGGTGTGGCACCCCCGTCATCCATAGTGAAGTTCGAGGCGAAGAGTTTGACCAGAAGGTCAGCCTTCTCTTTCGTACTATGGGCCAAACTGTCATCGGACTTACGTAATGGTGGGAGACAAGTCCTGCAGAAGTTGCCTTCTGCAGCCTTAGACAGCGACCAGAAAGCACGGCTCCCAGAGGGATAGCCTTTCAGTCGCTTACTAATTCTGGCAACGTGCTCCGACTTCGCGTTGGCAATAGTCCTCTAATAGGACCTTGAGGCGGCGTTAAATTTCCATCTCTCCTCCGAAATGTCGTTGTCCTGGCGTCTCCTAGCATCCCTACTGTCTTTATTATACTAGGGTTTACTGCCACACCCAACGGGCACCTCATAAGAAGGAATGAATAATTTCATCCCCTGAAGCACCATGTCTTTAAACCGGTCCGCACATAGGTCAGGATCATCGGTGGAAAAGCAGAGCCGTCCCCATGCGTAAAATTCGCGCATTCCGTCCCAATCTGCTGACCTATACCGCCAAACCCTTCGAAGCCCAGTCATTATTCGACGACTAGGGCGAGAGAGTGGTATCGCAGCACGGATAAGGCAATGATCAGACGATCTCAGTGGAGCGTCGACCACCACATTATATCCAGTTGGGTGAGATATCAGCAAAGGTCCAACAAAAAAGACTCGTGTCCCTCAATGTCTGGATCACGGTTGGGCTGTGTCACCAGCTGAGTGAGGTCAACTAAAAAATATAAAATAAATTTTAATAAATTTAAATTGAAAAAAAAAAATTGTGTAAAATATATTTTATTGTAAAAAAGCGTCGGGTGCTTTTTAAGATATTATTGAAATATTAATTCTTCTACTCATATTTTACTATATTAATTATTTATTATAATTATCAAGTCTTGGTTCAGAAGTGTTAAAAAATCTAAAATTAATGTTTCAAGCATTAATGAGAAAACGAAAGAATAGTGACAAGAATAGTATAATGCCGGCTATGCGATATCTTGCAAAAAATAATAATATTCGTTTCTCGTTTGCTTTCTATCCATTTTTATTATAAACAAAAGATAATAAAGGCCACTATTCAATATGTAGAAGTAAACCTAGATGAATCTAGCTTGATAATTAGTCACATTCATCAGGTGTATAATGATCCTAAATCCCAAAAAAAAATTTGACCTACGAATGCTCTAATACAATTTGTATTCCTACTTCTTACGAAATGTAACGGGCTCGGTATATGTATGATACTATGAACGCTAGCATTACAGTTGAAACATTTATTCATTCTTACAAAATGAGTGACCTTCCAGGGCCAAATTAGTTAGTGTTTTATACATCAAACAAAATCGTTTTTAGTAAAAAAAATATCAATGTCAATGCATTGACCGCAATACCGCAATAATTACTAGTACTGCTATTAATAAGACGACACGCACCTTACAAAAAGTAAATATTTTAAAATTTGAATCCGAAGTGAACGTCACGTTGTTCATAAGCGAAATTTCGAGCTGGCTAGCGACGCCAAATCATCGGTATGGTAAAAGCCAATATACAGCGCTACGTATACACACCCTCTGGCGGCACCGCTCGACACTGCGATATGCTTTTCCAAACGTTTCTGAGGCAATTTGGTGACCATCTCAAAAATTGATATAGTAACCATAGCGTCATCTACAGTTGATTGGTGTTAAAAATATTGAGAAACAAAGTGGCGACCGCATATTGGTCGCCAAATGTCGGTGGTCGCCACTTTAAATGTACTTTTGTGTTCATTGGATGCCAAAAGTGTTACAGGATATATATATATATATTTAGAGTGAATTAAAACAGATTACGATTGTTCTACAAGTTTAATGTAGGCGGGTGTATTCGTGATATCGTCTACGCTAACCGCTTGCTCGGGGTCACCGTTCATAAACAATAAACATTTATATTTTCATGAAATCTTATTAATAAACCTCCAACGTGTTGCTGCAATAATAAATTTCAATGAAAAACGTCATCGTAAAGGTGCTTGCTAGATTTATTTGTTTAACCCAGTACACGTTAATTTATTGTTATTTAATAATAATAGAATAATTTTATTTTTATTTTTATTTCTCAGTTTTGCTTATGATCGCAGAGAACGCAAAAAGGGGTCAAAAGACAAAGACGTAGCGTGGGTAATCCTTCCATATAGTGGATGGGGGACCGGTCGCAGGGATTCGCAGGATATGGGCAGCGGAAGGTCAATTGTTATGCCCAGTCTTAAAGGACTCTGTCCAGCGTAGAGTAGTAGTAGTTTAGTACTTGGCTCGTCTCGAGCGATGTAATTTTTTGTTTTTTTTTATTGCTTATATGTGTGGACGAGCTCACAGCCCACCTGGTGTTAAGTGGTTACTGGAGCCCATAGACATCTACAACGTAAATGCCGCCACTCACATTGATATATGAGTAGTAAGGCCTCAGTTGTTAACAGTACAATGGCTGCCCCATCCTTCAAACCGAAACACATTACTGCTTCACGACATAAATAGGCAGGGTGGTGTTACCTACCCGTGCGCACCCACAAGAGGTCCTACCACCATTCATTACGCAAATTATAATTTTGCAGGTTTAATTTTTTTTACACGATGTTATTCCTTCACCCTTACTCGAAGACCATTTGCAATGGTACATCGGTTATCCTAGTTTATAAAAAGACACATTTGCAGTAATATTATCTATTCACCAATAGTGACATGGGAATAGGCTTTTTACTGAGTCAAGAATAAATCATCAAAATGCCGTCATTCTTGCCGAGTTCAATCTTCAATGCCGAGTAATTCATCTGTTTGTCGCGCACGTATTTAATGCAAATTGAAGACTTATATGGTGTTCTCATGGATACCATTATCAGAAGTGGACCTAATTGAAATGGGACCACACGGGAAGCGTCAGTTTTCTAATAAAAAAAAAGAATCCTCAAAATCGATTCATCCAGTCCAAAGTTATGAGGTAAAAAAAAACCATACAGTCGAATTGAGAACCTCCTCCTTTTTTAAAGTCGGTTAATAAAAGGCCGGTCGATAAAAAAAAACACCCCAGCCTTTTCTTCAGTTATAGCTCACGTTCAGATTGGCCGTTGGGCGATTCCCCGGTACCTTAAGTAATGACTTCAAAGTTCAAACTACTTCAACTTACATGATTCCATACGCAAAATAACACGCAATAAAAAATCTAACGGTCCACCTTCGGAGCCCATAGATAGCACAAAGTGAATGCGGGCAGAGAGGCTTCGGGGTCCTTAGAACTTGAGGCCTATATATCAACTACACACATTACAAGTTTTTAGGGTTTGATTTTTATTACATGACGCACTTCATTTATCGTGGAGCTCAGCCATAAAAATAATATTAGGAATAGTTTTTTTTTATTTCCGACCCATGCTGATAGCCTTGAGAGGCTATATCAGCTTCTCCTTGACGTGTAGGTGTGCTCACGGGGCTCAAACCGAGAGTGTTGCTAGCACTGGCCCTAGCAAGAGCCGTGCTTCGCAGAATCTACCACCGAATCGGAAACGCGACCCACTGAGAAGATCCGGCGAGAAACTCAGTGGGCTGTGTCTATGGGTTAATTCACTCGTCGAGCCCTTCGTCGCAAGCGACGGGTTCGACGAGGACGGTGACCGGTGCTTGTTGTACCTTAAAGCACCGTTAATAGATCAGGAGGATCCGTAATGACGTGTTTATGGCGACGTCGACTATTTGCCATTCGGTCTAGAGGATCGGGTTATTAGGAATGAGGTATCAATACCGCATCTAGACATATCAGATATTAAATTTTCAAAATAATTATAAGTCTTTCATGTTTATTCGTCTAAGTCAATTTATATCGTTTCGAAAACAAAACCAAATCTTCGCCACATCTTTTCGATTTGTGTACCACAGTCTTCATGGGTCGAACTGCAAGAAACAGGTAATATCAGTCAAAAAAAAATATAAATAAAGGTAAACTATAATTGAATACGCAATTTCGAAAAGGGCACATCTCTAAAAATGTAAAATGTTCAGGAAATGAAAAAAAACTGATTAATTTGAAAGCAGTGTAAAATTTAAAATATTAAATTATGAGATATATTTTAGTGTTAATTAGTAATTGAAAATTACTGGAATTATTATAAAACAGGTGTAGGTAAGCCTCAAAACTACATGTGATAGATATATGAAAAAACGTATTTGACAACATATGCGACATGTACCCTTTTCGACAAAACTACATGTGATAGATATATGAAAAAACGTATTTGACAACATATGCGACATGTACCCTTTTCGAAATTGCATATTCAATTAAGCTTCAGATTAGGCGGAAACTTCAAAGATGGAGTGAAAGAAATTATAAGAAAATATAGAAAAACTCTCAGTGTCCATAGCACGTGAAGCTATCGTACTTTAAAGGGTCAAACTGCACACGTACCGAACGGTACAAGTTTAAATGTACTAAGATTCAAATACCGCAATGTACCAACATTTCTATTATCTATACCATATCAATCAATCAAATATATCTATCTCTATATCTAAAAACTCTATACCTATATAAAAATGAATTGCTGTTCGTTAGTCTCGCTAAAACTCGAGAACGGCGCTGAACCGATTTGGCTAATTTTGGTCTTGAATTATTTGTGGAAGTCCAGAGAAGGTTTAAAAGGTAGATAAATGTGAAAATGCTGGGAATTAAATAAA